CACCCAGAAGAGCGACTTCAGAGAAAACCCTATTCAGCCTCAAAAGTTGAGGCTGAGGAACACATAGTGAACCAAGAAACTATAGGGAATAGAGCTGCCAAGCTCTTAAAACTCTCAACAGAGCACATGCCAACTGAGATTTTTCAAAAGCTTATAAAAGTAAAAGGCATTGCCCTGGCACTGGAACAATGGCTAGCCACTCGTTCTATTTCTAGCTGTTGCTCTGAAGTGCAGACACACTAAATATCAATGAAAAAGATAAAAATGAACACAGTCAAACATCTTTTTTTTTTAACCTAGACTCAGTTTAAGAAATGGCTGGATGGAATCTTCTTAAAATCTTTTTTAAAGCAAGTTACTTGGAAAATTTCAGACCAAAGGCTTAACTGGCAAGTTTATATGTAACTGAAAACAGGACCTTAAAATGGGAAACACTGTGCAACCTTAATTCGGGGAAGTACTTCAAACTCAATCTCAATATAAGAAGTGAAATTGCCTAAGTTGCACAGGTGGTTAAAGCTCAAAAGAAACACAATTCCTAAACTAAGCATTTATTTATGTTTATACTTTTCAAATGCTTCATCATCAAGAGCATTATTTTAAAACTACTCCAAAAATATAAAGATTCACAAAGAGATTTCTAGCTCACAGAGTTTAAATTTCCCTTTTCTAATAGACAGTCCATCAACTGAGCAAAGACCTAGCTAAGGCTGATAGACTTAAACTGATAACCTCTCATCTCCTCTTACACTGAGATCCTATATACAAAGGTCACCTGAAAACATTTCCACAGTTGGCTTCAACTTTCTTATCACCTTTAGCCTCTTATTATATTCACAGACAAACAAGCTCCTCATAACTGGTACAAAATCCTCTCCTGACTTTGAAGACACAAGAAGCATGTTCTCTGTACCCAAAACTGCATCTAACCAGCCAGCATACTGCTTTTCTCCTCTGTTGATGGAGTCTCTGTAAGAAAATCAATCAATATGGGAAGTGCTGCAAGTGTCTGGTCAGTTTACAGAAATCTGAAGTCGCTTCCTCTGACACTCCTGACCCCTTGCAATTTGAACTTGATTTGCCTTTCATCTCAGTGATTATACTCAGTTATACTGCCTTTAAAAAAAATAAGGTGCATTGTCCCTCTTCTGAATGGATCAGTGCTATCAGAATTCACTGAAATTCTTTATTTGTTCCCAGCACTACCTTGTTCCAGCCTTGCCTTCATATGGGAAAAGACAAGTGAAGTATATACCGCATCTGAAGAGAATCACAGGAGAAAACACAGACTCTCTCCAGAGCTATACCACAGAAAAAAGTAGAAAAAAAGCAGATTAATACTTCCACTTCAGGTGCTATTTCTAACTCATGTACCTGCAGTTTATCATATCATTGATTGGAAAACACACATTGGCTTATCAATAGTGGAACATGCAGTTCACTTGGGGATGTATAATTTATTCTTTTGGCAACACTGAAGGAATGTAAGACTTTTTTATTTGGCTTCTCCATAGGAATATGGCACAATGCCCACTGGAAGGGATGCATCATATCGACTGTCTCTCCTGACTCTGATTCATCCAAATACAGAATCCAAACCTTTTATCAATGAGAGAGGTTTTTTTGATATCAACAGTAGATGGTACTATGCAATGCAAACAGTTTATTTTTAGAAATAATACTGCTACCTATGCTGACTAAATACTTTACACTCAGAACTGTTGGTTTGCAACTAGCAAAATTCAGCATTGTATAATGAATATGAAAAAGGTGCAATACACAAGCAAGCATTTATTCATAGCACCTAAGCAGGATACTAGATTCACTGGGAACTGATCAGATAAAACAAACAACTACCTGAATACCACAAAACTCCATAGAATATGGAGATTATGAGATGGCTTGTTTTGTATGAGATAGATTTTTCATATCTACATTTCTGCGCTATGCCCTAACAGGATTCCAAATAAGCATTTTAAAACTCAGTTGTACTTTGTTTCCTGAAGGAAAACATGCCATTTGATATTCTAATACTGGACTGAAAATGTGGTTCATAAGAAAGGTGTGTTCACATTAGATTAAAATAGGGTAGTAAGTAGACCACCTTCTCCAAACTCTTCGTTGCCAGGATTTCAGGAGCAGATTCCAGTTGGAAAAGCCAACTAAGTGGAAGATTCAAATCAGTAGGCAGGTAAGAGAACAGGGTCCTCTTAGCTATTTGCCAATCCTACTGTATGGGGCTTATCAAAGCAAGAAAGTGGCAGGTTGGAGCGGAAATCTGTTTTGCTCATTTTCCATCGGTTTAATGTATCATTGCTTGTGAGTTAAAGCAACCTCTTGGCTGTTCAAGCTCATACCCGGGCCAGGCTAGTGCTCTCTATGCCCTCTGATGTCTCCCAGGAACAGAATTCGGCTTCTGGGGAAAACTGACCTCTTGGGTTCAAAACCCTTCCACTGTATAGTTTATGGCATCCATTCTTCCAGCATGCAGTGGAATAAAACTATACATTATTCCAGAAATATTCAAAAAGTGTTCAGAACTAAGTGTTCCAATTTGTGAGCAGCTTGCTGCATGAAAAGCATAATCAGCCTTGCAAAATCCCTTTGCAACTAATCTTTTAAAAAATCTCATATAAACATTAGCGTTATTAGCACAGACACTAATATAGAATTTAAGGAAGAATCTGTGCAAATGCAGACTCTATCTGAATGCAAACTAGTTCCAGTTAAGCCCTTATGCTGAGCCATAATATCATGCCTTGTATATGCCATATATTTTTAAAAAGTATTAGAGAAAATATTTCAGAGGGCTTTAAAATTCCTTTTTGCATGCTTTTTTTTAATTCCTAGTTTTTATTTAGTATCACCTAACTCCGCAGGTATCACAGAAGAAAATAATAACTCAAATCTTCAAATAAATAAATAAATAGATAAATAAATAAGTAATTAAATTCAGAAACTGCTTAAAGCCAGCTAAATAGATTTCATACAAACAAATCCATGACATTAAAATTGAATATATTATGAAATGATCTCCTTGCAATACTAAATACCTTATTCCATAATCTATCACTTAACCAGACCAAATGTTCCCACTACTGTAAGTATGAATCCAGGATAATTTACAGAAGAAAAATCCAACAGCAGAGGGAAACTGGAAATATTTCTCCTTCTAGATGTTTTGTTATTTTGTTCTTTTTGGGTTTTTTTTTTTTTTGCATTTCCTAATGGTGGCTTTATTCAGAAGATTGGTTGTAAGTACTCATAGGCAAGCAAAGCTAGTGAATCGGATGCAAATAAGGTGGTGAAATGCATGAGAAGCACTTTTATGGTATCATTAATATCATTTGTATCTATTCAGATACACAGCCTAAGATAGTTTTGGAAATAAGTGAGAACCCTCCATTTACTGACATTAAATAGAATCTGAAAAAAGGCAAAATTTATAATATTAATCCACAAGCAGTATCCTGGATTCCCCATTAATACACTCACCAAAGTGCACCTAGAACAAAGGCTGTGTAAAGTGTAACCTTCTCAGTTTGTATTAAGACATCACAGTCAGCAGTAGCTTGGCTGTAGGCATTGTGTGCCTACATTATTATTCTTTGAAACTTTCAGTTATAACAATGATTTGTCAGAAAATGCTCAGAAAATGGCATATGGAGATACAAACTGCAAATTACAAACAATGTCAATTCATTAAAAAGTAATTATAAAAACTTTCAGCAGAATGAAGTTTTGGCGCATGCAATTTTATCTGTATAAGCAGATTGTTTAGAATGAACTTAAGTATTTTACAACTGAGATTAAGAAGAAATTGAAAAGAATGTTTTTTTGAAATAATAGCATTACATTAACTTTTCAAATAGTTTTGTTTCTAACCATTGCATTAAGAAAATCTAATTATAATGATACAAGTGCTCCACTACTTAAGATTATATCAGCTTTTCAATTACAATCTCTTATTTTCATGACTGGAACTCAGCAGCAAAAACATTCTGTGTTGAATATGGGCCCATGGTTTCTTCAAAAAAGCAGCATTAAAAATGGAAACGTAAACCTGCAGCTATGAATGACATACAATTTGAAATGACTATTGTGCATAAATTTTTTACTTTTTTCAAATGAACTGAGTGCCCTCAAAGGAAACGGATTGTCCTCAGAATTCAATAGAATAAATCTCTTGGCATTTAGAAACATTTGAATTTAAGCAGGATTTGGGGTGGAGCACTACACCTTAGACTTGCATGTATCATCCAATGCAGCATACAGTAATGCAAAAGGTTTTGAAACACAAATTACTTGATAAATCTCCAATATTTCTGCTGTTCCATAAATATGTTATAGATACATATTAGACACAGAGAGAAAAAACCTGCAGTTGACAAAAATGCTTATAAAATGAAAATTTTTTTGAGCTAAAGGTAAAAGGAGCTACATTTATCTATGGTTTTTAAAGTTGTGGAACTTAATCCATTAGAAGAGATAGACTTCTCGTTTCAACACACAGAAGTTGCAAATGTTTATTTTTCATATTGTATTAATTTCTGTTCATGCTAGCCTAGCGCTGTCCTGGTACTTTTTTTACATTCAAGAACGGATGCTGCAAAAAGGAGCCTGATGAATGCAAGAAGCAACCTACAGTAGCCTGCAGAGTACAGCAGCACTGTACCCTGGACGGCACTGCAAGGGTACCTTAAGCCTCTGTGAGGATACTTTAAGTAATTCAGTGGAAACTACCTGTGCTCACCACCATTTCAAGTTATTTCAACACTCTGAGTACTCTGTCATCATCTCCATGGTGTCAGCTTTCCTGCATGTAAAATGAGCGCGCTGATCATTCCTGACTTTAGAAGGGTACTGTGTATTTCTAATACACAGAGTGTCTAAAGCACTTTGAGATCCCTGAATAAAAGGTGCCAGATAAGTGAGAAAAATCCATCTGTATGCTTAATTATTTTATTTCATTTTTTTCCAGAGAGTAGCTCAGATCTTACTTTGCTTCCAGTGCCAGTGCAATGATGCCTGCAGCCATAGGTGCAGAGGCTGAGGTTCCCGTATGGCTGTCTGTGCAACGCTGCCTCAGGTCTGTGGTGATCTGGAAGAAATTGAATGTGTGAAATTTAGAATACAGCTTCAGAAATCAGAACAGGTTTCATTTGCTTGAATGAGTTGCATGTAAGCGGAGAACATTTTCTTCTTTCATCACAAGGAGTGAGTACATGATTTTAGATGTTCATATTCTACTCGGAGCTTGAAGACATTTGTGAACTTGGAGAAGTGTTCTCTGCATTGCACTGAAAACATAAGTTAGTCTCAGGTTTTTTCATGGCATGACTAACAAAAGACATGTAAACTAGAAAAACATGCACAGGGTTTTATAACAGAATGGTTAGAACTCTGCTCTTCTATTACTTTGCATTTATAGAGCACTTCCCATCCAAGAATCTCAAAGTGCTTTACAAATTGGAATGAATTAAACCTCACAGTGTTCCCATCACACAAATTGGTTATGCTCATTTTTAAGACTGTAAAACAGAGGTATGGAGGGGTTAATGGGGTTGCCTGAAGTCACAGTGGAAGTACATGATAGAACAGAATACAGTTATGTTCACATTAAGTGCTGTATTTAATCCACAGTCCCTTCCTTCCTTCCATATGCAATAATTCACATGAAATTAAGCAACAATTCATCTGAAAATCCTGATGTAATCACAAATTTGGCTTAGAGATCTCCAGCCTATTAGTTACTTGCAGCTTTAAATGGAGTTATATATTGCTTAATTATATGCTGCTACATATTTTAATATATGATCTTAGGGGCTGCATAAAGCCATAATATGCAATACCAACTAAAAAGACACAGTCCTGTACTTAGTGTTAGGATGTTCCTCCCTCATAAAGAATTTTAGGTAGATATTTTCTGTAAGGCAATAAACCACACACAAAAATGTATTCATTCTGAAGCTGCTTCTTTCAGGCAAGATTAATCTAAAGTGATTCTACTCTAAACTTTTCTTTCTGGAGAAGTGGTTCCTAGCAAGAGCAAGGCAGTGGAGACAAGAAGTCATGACCACCTAACAGATGCTCAGGTGAAATCCATGCAGATGTTTCCATTTAATCTAATTCACTAGTGCTATACTTCACTTGCAACACAGACACTCACACAAAGATGGAAGAAGGAGTGGATCACAGGAGAGTGGGAAGTAAAGCACACAAAAAAGTACAAGACATAAAAATATCTGTCTAGCTTTGAAACTAGATCTCTATGATCTAAAAAAATAGCTACGTACCATCTCAGCACATTACAAACAGTTGCAAATAGGTTTTATACAGATACATTCATAATATTCAGTAGTATATGTATTACACATTTGGTATAAGACTGCTGAAAGTTTTAATGACATGTAAATGTGCAGGCTAACACAAAGGACTTCTAAAAGAGAAGTTCACAGGACCTATGAAGTGATTGTTGAAAGCAAGTAGTGACTAAATGAAACAAAATGGAAGGTTCTAGAAGTTGAAAAATAAGGATTAAAGCATTTATAATGTCATATCCTTAAATTACTGGACTTACCAAAGGCCAGACTCAAGGATACTGAAGTCTAGAAAGAACCTTTTTTGTCCTTATTATTTAATAATTATTTAATTATTTAATATTATTTAAATTGTTTAAAATCTTTCATATATGTATATGTATTCTTATTTTTTTATCTTTTACTAACTAAAAGGTGATGCCTATAAATAAAATGCTCATATCATTTCTTTATCTCTTTCCTCCCCTCCTATCAGTTGTTCATGAATTTAGACAAGGAAAATTAATGGAAAACCCATCTGCATGCACATCCCATACATGCTCTGAAAATGTTAAGAGACAAAACTGCAGCAGGAACTGCTCTACGACTATACTGCCTATGTGTGCAGATGCAAGGAGTGGTTTTGGAGGTGAGTTGAAAATGGCCATGGCTTACAGGATGATACGCACAAAAATAACGACATGAAAGTGTCAAGTATCTCCTTTGGAGAAACAATGGTCAAAGCAGTGGTGGGGAGTGGAAGGGAGACCAGGAAAAAGAGAAGGTAGAAAGAGAGACTGGCCCACACTTGTCCCGTTCCCGGCCAGGAAAATTGTCCCCTGCCAAGAAGCTGCGCTTCTTGTCCACTTTCCAAAGAGGACTGAAGGATATCGGTGCCTGCAGGAGTTCAGGCAGGGAGAAGTGCCCCCATAGCTGCTTTGCATTAAGAGACAGCCTCGTGCGTGCTGTGAGACAACACTGTATCATGCTATCTGTGTTTCTCATCTTCTGAAAGAAGAACATGCTTCAGTTTTTATTGTCCTGTACCTATGGCTATCAAGCATAATAAAAGTATGACACCTCTGCAATGGGGGTCTCGTGTCCCAAGTAGACATTGTGGCAAGTTTGAACTACAGCCCCTTATCGCTCTCTTTCACTCAGCAAATATTTCAGCAGAAAATGTGTAAAGAAAGCTTCCTAAGTGGAAATCCCATTTGAGCTATTTCAAAGGGAAGTTACTGACAGGAGCTGAGATGTTTAGGTGTAAATTACCTCAAAGATCTAAGGCATGCTTTTCAGCACTAGGGATTCATTGTCAGAGGAGCCTTGTGTCTATAGCTCACGAAAAAAAGAGAAAAGGACCACCAACAGGCAAGCGAGTTTCGAGAAGAGAAATGATGCTCCAAATCCCTGAACCGCACAAGGGTAACATCATTAATCACAACAAAAGGACGTGACACTTGACAGCCCCATGAAGTTATCATTAGTGTATGTGAGCTGTCATTCCCCTCAATAGTGTGGGGAGGAGCAGCAATTTCTGAATCTTTTGTTGAGTACAACACATTTATATGCTTCAAATACTGTAACAACTGCTGATCTATGAAAATGTTGATCAGATTATGCATGATCAGTCCATGTAATATTTCGAGGGCCCTGAGTTATATCCACTTCTACCTCTTCTGAATCAACTGAATTTTACTGAAGGCAATGACAATATTTCTGGTACTGGTGTAGTTTAATCAACATGAGATTAACAGTCTAGGACACCTTGATGAAAGTCAGATAAACGTTACAGCAATCACCACAATGTACTGCAATCTCTGCCATATGTGGAAGTCAGGCAGCTTTCAGAAAATGCACAGATTTATTAAAGAAAAACTCTAGAAACACATCGTAATAGTTTTATATAAGCAATTTGCTCTGAAGATTTAAGGAGATACCATTCCTGAACAGTCATTATTAAGGTTGTACCATCAATCTTCCCATAGTTTCATCTATTGGGAGGTTAAGGACTGAGGTCAAACATTGGATTTTCCTTAGCAGAGAATGTGCTCACTCTTCCTGTCCTAAGCCTCTTATTCACTGATATTTCATATTTCATGACTTCAGCCTTCTGAACTGATTGAACCATTTTTTACCTGCTGCTGTAATTCCTCAGGATATGCTGGTTTCTACCAACCTGTGTCCCTAAAAGTGACAAGGACTTAACAAAAATCAACTGTTTCTTCCCACATCCTTGGTGTATCTTTATCTACTCAAAGTTGAAGGTGCCACGTTGTACCTCGATACTCTGCAAGAGTTTCTGAACAAGACCAGATTTTTTGTTTGTGTTTTAAAAACTGAGAAGATATGGTTTTGTTGTTTATATTTGTTTCAAGTTCTGTTTAAAGCAAAAACTGGTCAGCAAGGCAGAAATATAACTTAAAAGAGAAAGAAATTCAGCAGATGACACAACTGTTTTATGGAGCAAAGAAATAGGAGAAGCAATAAGTACAGATGTGGTTTTTAGCAGATGATTCATGTGCAATAGGCTTACAAATTTTATCTGTGAGGGATTTTCACCTGTAAATTCATTAGTGCTTTCAGAAATTATTTTAAAAAGGAATTCAAAGGAATCGTGATGCTTTTGTGCAACATCTTTGATACATTCAAGGCCCAGATAAATAACTATAGCTAGGTTGTATTGAACATATTCTAAGATACTTATTCTAAGTAATAATGCACAGCTGCATGGGCCCAAATGGGGAAACTATTTTCCAGGGTTGTCCTGCATTCAAAATAGCAGAGAAGAGAAGAATAGGAAAAATACATTGGCAAATGTATGTCATCATTGGCTATTATTTCTACACTCATTCTGTTCTGAAAGATGACCTCCATAAAGAAGTATATTTTTATGGTCTTTACCTAGCCTTCATTTGCCTTTGTCCCAGAGTGTGAGTTTCTATATCTGTGCCTGCACTTTGCAGATGCACTTGAAAAGACCTAGAAATAATTCAAGTTCTTGTCTCTAATTGCCTATGTAAAAGGCATCCATGCAACTGTATCTGCAAAATGTTTGTATGCTTTGGATGTATATAATGCAGTCAAACACTGGAAACTCAGTCCATAATGGGCAAACATTTACTGCAATACAATTTGGTGCAGCATCAAGTTAAGTGCATTGTGAGTACGTTCCTTGGGCTGCAGACAGCAGTACTCATGCAAGATGCTAACATCAGCGTGTGTTTCACTGCAACTGTTAGCTCAAATTGTTACACACCAGAATTTGTTGTCATTTACTTTATTCCAAAGTCAGCAAAAATAAGTTCCATGTGGAAAAGAGTTGTGTAGATAAGATTATTCTCTTATTTACTAAGCTAATTATGATTGTACAAGACTGAAAAAAACCTCCAAAACTACTGGATAACCTCCTAAAATTATTTTACAAGCTGCATTTGTAACAATTATAAAAACATGCAGTAACATGAAAAGGAAAAAAAAGCCTCTGGGTACTTATAAAAGTGTGGGTGTTTTTATTAATCCACATTGAAGACAAAACATTTTTATAAGAATTTTTACTTGTCCCTTTCTAATCCACACAATGAGTGCCTAACATGTTCACTTGGTGACTGTTTGGGTATTCACCTCATAATACATTCTGCACACACTGGATAGAAAAATAGAAAAGGAAAAAAAAGACATTAGAACTGGAGACATGTAAGGAAAAATAAGCAGGAACTGGAGAATTTGACACTATAAAGTAGTAGCCATGCACTGTCCCTTAATATCACATCTATATTTCTGTACTACTACGTTGCAGAAT